ATAATATACTAAGATAAAGGATTAAGATAAGAACAAAGAGGGAAAGGATTTGCTGAATTAACTAACTGAACTGGAATGCAAAAAAGGGAGGTGTGAGGAGGTCAGGGAAACAAGTGAATGAAAGACAAGATATGGAAAGACTGATTTGTTTTTAATTGTTATTCTATTTTTTCTGTTTTTTGTATTTTCTTTTTTCTTTTTTTTACTTTTCTTGAATTATTGTAATTTTGTTTGAAACTTTCATAAATAATATTTTTTTAAAAAAAGAATAGTTAAAACTATGGAAGCCACGCTGCTCTTGCGCTTGAACTCTGCTTGCTCACTTCCACAGGCATCTCTTCCAAGTTCTTGAAATACTAGAACTCAACAAGGCCGTCCAAGGAAGCTTCAGGGCAGAAAAGGAAGGAGGGCTTCTCCATGCACCTGGGGGCAGGTAGCAATGCCAGTTGTGGGAATCCACAGGGGGACAGACTGCTCTTGTGCTCGGGTCCTATTGGGGCTTCTGTTTGGCCGCTGCGAGAACAGGATGCTGGAATAGAGATGTGTGACTGGCCTCATCCAGCAGCAGCAGCAGCAGAAGAGGAGTTCGGATTTGATATCCCGCTTTATCACTACCCTAAGGAGTCTCAAAGCACCTAACATTCTCCTTTCCCTTCCTCCCCCACAACAAACACTCTGTGAGGTTAGTGGGGCTGAGAGACTTCAAAGAAGTGTGACTGGCCCAAGGTCACCCAGCAGCTGCATGTGGAGGAGAAGAGACACGAACCCGGTTCCCCAGATTACGAGACTATGGCTCTTAACCACTACACCACACTGGCTCGCCCTGTGTTGAATTCTGGTGCTGGAGGAGACTCTTGAGAGTCCCATGGACTGCAAGAAGATCAAACCTCTCCATTCTGAAGGAAATCAGCCCTGAGTGCTCACTGGAAGGGACAGATCCTGAAGCTGAGGCTCCAATCCTTTGCCCACCTCATGAGAAGAGAAGACTCCCTGGAAAAGACCCTGATGTTGGGAAAGATGGAGGGCACAAGGAGAAGGGGATGACAGAGGACGAGATGGCTGGACAGTGTTCTTGAAGCTACCAGCATGAGTTTGACCAAACTGCGGGAGGCAGTGGAAGACAGGAGTGCCTGGAATGCTCTAGTCCAGGGGGTCATGAAGAGTCGGACACGACTAAACAACAACATGTTCTCATGTAAAGGAGACCCTCCCTGCCTGAGACCCTGGAGAGCTGCTGCCAGTCAGGGAACACTGTGCTAGATGGTTCTATAGTCTGGTGAGACACAGCTTCCTGCGTTACTTAACAGCTTGCCGCCTTCCTCCAATCAGCTGCTTCCATTTCAGGGGCAGAGGATCCACTCAGAACAACAACAGCACTGGTGAAGATGGGGAAGTGTGCCCCTTTTCCCACAGCTTGAGGGGCCAGCGCTCATCTATGTACCCGGTGGAGTGCAGGATCAGGTTTAAGGTGCTGGTTTTAACCTTTAAAGCCCTATACGGCCTAGGGAGAAGAGGCAGTGGAAGAGGACTGGAAAAAATTTAAGGACTATTTACAAAAACATTATAAGTTACATGAATGTTGAGAATTTGCTAAGTTATTGGAAAAACATACTTCAGTATGGAGATTTGAAAATGGGGGAAATTAAGTTATGACCGTGAAAAGTTCAAAATTTAGAGCAATGTTTCTATTATTGGGGATGGAGGATGGAAAGAAGTTAGCCAATAATAAGTACTCTAAGTCTAAAATATAATCAAATGAAAGTACAAAAACGCATGAAACAAGGTATTAATTTGCTGTAATTTTATTTTCTACAAAGAATGCAGGGCGCTGGGGATGTGGGGAAGTCCAGTGGATCATGAAAAATGCTTGAAAATGTGAATTTTCTTTCTTTTATCTTTCTCTTTCTATTCTGTAAAACCGCTTTTGTTGAGTTATTGATGATGTATTTGACCCTGGAAAAAAGCAATAAAAAATATTTAAAAAAAAATAATAAAGCCCTATACGGCCTAGGACCCTCGTACCTACGGGACCGCCTCTCCTGGTATGCCCCACAGAAGAACTTACGGTCTGCAAATAAAAACATCCTGAAGACCCCAGGCCACAGAGAGGTTAGGCTGGCCTCAACTAGAGCTCCAATCTGGTGGGACGCTCTGTCACAAGAGACTAGGGCCTTGCGGGACCTGACATCTTTCCGCAGGGCCTGCAAGACAAGAGTTGTTCCACCAGGTCTTTGGTCAGGGCGCAGCCTGACCCCCTCCTCTGGCAATCTGCACAGAATTTTGCTTAATGGTTGCCATTAATTTGATTTTAATTAATTTTTATAATGAAAGGTTTTTAGAATGCTGGATTATTTTGATTGTTGTTAGCCGCCCTGAGCCCAGCTTCGGCTGGGGGGGCGGGGTATAAATAAAATTTATTATTTTTATTATCTAGAATGAAGTTGCACGGTCATCGGGGGCAGGTGCTGAATGGCATCTCTCTCATCAGGGACCCCACACCGAAACGCAATCCGTCTCAGCGTGTGATCTGAACCGCAGATTGTGGGTTTGCTTGGGCAAAGTCTTAGATGCGCTTTCTTACATTGGTCTGCGCAGCAGCTGGGTAGGACAGGAAGAAGGTGCCTTGAAGAATAAATATAAGACTAAGAAGGGCTTCCTGCTTCAGGATCACCCACTGAAGTTTGTGTGTTTGTTTTTATTTTATTTTTAATGTATTTTTATTAAAGATTTTATTGATTCACAAAGGTATGTGCAATGTCTCTCGTATTTTTTACCCCATGTAACTTTTTTTTTTTTTACAAATCGGTTTCATTTGTTGAGACATTAGGAAGAAAGGGTGGGGAGATGAGTGGGGGTGGGGTCAGGTAGTGATGTTTCTATTATACGTATACTAGGCTGTGGTTATTCATTTGTGGTTGGCTGTGGTGGTCTTTGTTGTCATGTGTGACTGGGGTGGGTGGATGTCTTGGATCAGGTTCGCCATATTGATTCGTATGGTGTGTTTGTTTTTATAAATATTTTTATTACATTTTTTGAAAGAACAACTAACAAGCTCAGCAAAACATAACATGAAGGTCGAGAACGGTCCCAGTGAGTTCCAGGGGAGCATTTAGGTACATAGCATAGTAGACTGTAACATTTTCACTCTCGCAAGTCTCTCCAAAGATGTCATAGAATCATTGAATTGTAGAGTTCAAAGGTACCCCAGGGGTCATCTAGTCCAACCCTCTGCAAATCAGAAATCACAGCTAAGGAATCCACAACAGATGGTAACCTAACCTATGTTTCAAAACCTTCAATGAAGTCTGTTCCACTGTTGAACAGCTCTTGTTGTCAGAAAGTTATTCCTGATATATTAGTTGGACTCTCTTTTCTTGTAACTGAAAGGCATTGATTGGAGTCCTACCCTCCATAGCAGGAGAAAACAAGCTTGTTCCCTCTGCCATGGGACAGCCCTTCAGATATTTGAAGATGCCTACCATCATGTCTCATAAGGCTTGGTTTCAATCATCTTTGAGATGCTTTATCATCTTAATAACATAGTGATATGATAATAATGTTCTTATTTCTTATCTTACCTTCTGTTCTCCAGTACCTCTAATGTGACCCACATTAACATTTTTGTTCAGGCCTAACTCTGTTCTCAGGGATGCGGGTGACGCTGTGGGTTAAACCACAGAGCCTAGGACTTGCTGATCAGAAGGTCGGCGGTTTGAATCCCTGTGACGGGGTGAGCTCCCGTTGCTCGGTCCCTGCTCCTGCCAACCTAGCAGTTCGAAGGCACACCAGTGCAAGTAGATCAATAGGTACCACTGTGGCAGGAAGGTAAACGGCGTTTCTGTGCGCTGCTCTGGTTCGCCAGAAGCGGCTTAGTCATGCTGCCCACATGACCCGGAAGCTGTCTGTGGACAAACGCCAGCTCCCTTGGCCAATAAAGCGAGATGAGCGCCGCAACCCCAGAGTTGGTCACGACTGGACCTGATGGTCAGGGGACCCTTTACCCTTTACCTTTAACTCTGCTCTCACTTCTTCATTACCCCTGTTTCCTTACTGGCATTTAAAATGGCTACATTGCTCAAGCATAGGTAAACCCTCCGTCAAAGAAAACTCTCTTGGGAGCCAAAGGGAAGGAACATGGTGCTCTACCACCTGGTGTCAGGCTGCCATGGCAAGCCAGTTGTCCTCAGCCAGACTAACTCAACATCAGATCTGCTCTTGATATATGGATAATTATTATGTATGTATATCATCACTGTCCCCAACCATCCTGTAGCAGCGAGTTCCAAGGGGCAAATGTGCAAGATGCTCGACATCAGCCTGCCACTCCCCATTTTTCACCATCCTCTCTGTTACATCTTTCTCCCCATCCCAGCACACAAATAAATAATATTTTGGCCAACTTTCTGCTTCTACATTTAAACACACCTGATGAAAACTTTTTTATTCTTCCAGGCCCATGCAGGCAATTAAGAATACGTATTATCGTAATAGTTAACTGATGCCTGATTTTCACTATTATACCGTTTCTTTGCACGTACTACTGTGAACCACTTTGATTTTATTTTAATGAAATAGCAGCATACAAATATTTTAATAAATAAACAAACCTACTGCCCTCCAGATGCTTTGGACTACAACTCCCATCAGCCCCCAGCCAGCACAGGCGCTATCCCTCAGACCTTGTGGGGGGCAATGAACAAATTCCTATGCCCCACAAATAACCCAGAGGTGCATTTTAAATAAAAGGGCACATTCTATTCATGTAAAAACACGCTGATTCCCAGACCGTCTGCGGTCTGGATTTAGAAGGCGATTGGGCCAGATCCGGCCCCCGGGCCTTAGTTTGCTTACCCATGAGCTACACCATCATGTGAGCAGGGGCTGATGGGATTTGTAGTCCAAAACATCTGGCGAAGGAAAGCACCAGGCTAATAGAAAGCTAGACCAACCCATTCCAGGAGCCAGACATGTCTTTGGGGGCGGGCTGGCCTGCCTCCATCCTATTCCAGCCCTGATTTAAACCGCAGCTGGTCCCCAAAAACACCCTCCTCGCTGCCCTCCTGAATAGTCTCACTGAAAATGCGGGGTCCCAAAGATCCCTCGCCTCCCTCTGGACCCACCTTCGCGGAGCAGGTGTGTGGAGGGGGGGGGAATAACCATTCCCAGTTCATCAAAATGACGACTCCCCATTTAAAGCCTCTCTTTATTGCTATTTAGATTCAGTGGGTTGTTATCTCGCTAAGCTTTAGGGTTGGGGGCGCAGAGGGACCCTTTCTTGCCTCCCAAGCCCACTGGGGAAGAGGGTGGGGCCACTCTGCACGTGCTCAGAGGCGCCCTTGCTGCAGCGCCGGGGCTCTGATCCGTTGGAAGCGGGTGGAGTTTGGGACTCTGCTCTCTCCCCGCA